CGGAAAGTTACAAATACAAATGATCCCAGCTAACCATGGTGAGTGTCGACTACGGTTGAAAGCTGGTTGCGGTCATGCTCTGCCCATCTTTGGTGGGCCACCTCGATTCTTCCTTCTTCAAACAGGTTGGGGAAAGAGTCTATTCCGCTTACCGCACCCAGCGACAAGAGGCCACCCCCCCCAGTTTCTGCTTCCGCCGGGCTCCTCATGGCGAAAGCCCTCCACCACCAAATCACCCCAAAGTGAGGCGGGCGAGCTTTTGCTACATCCACCACCCTCTCTTGACACTCGGCACCGCCTACGACGCTGCCTACCATCCCCGCCCACGCAAGAAGCCATCCCACGCGACGACGCAATCGCGGCCGTCTCGTCCCAACCCAGGCGCTTGGGCGTTGACGTCGCGCACCTGCTGTGTTTCACCTTTTTTATTTGCTTCTGGGGTGCGTAGATCAACAAGCTCTTGGTTCTTTCTCTGGCGCCAGTCATATTCCCGTCTGTCCATCAGCCAGCCATTGCTTGATGGCATGCGGTTCGGGCTATGAGCCAGCCGGAAGCATCCCGTTTGCGACACGTTGACTTCCTAGCCTTGGTTGACCTCGACCTTCTGCTAGGTGCCTGGGGAACAACATTCGTCGTGGCCATTCTGGCGCGCGAGGCCAGGCTGCACAGGAGCTCGGCTGATCCAGGTACAACCCAAGAACATTGTTGCCCAACCGGACATACGACATCTCGGTCAATTGGGGAGACAGGATGCCGCTCATGGCCGCCTATTGCGACCTCCCTCCTCTTTCCCGCTTGATTGCTGGTCAGTCATTATGCCCTGAGGGACGCGTGGCTGGAGGGCGGGCTGAACTAAACCCACAGAACGAGCCGGCCTGCTCGGCAACCGTGCTCGCCGATTGAAAGTAACAAAAATCCTGAGCCATCATCGCCATGTCCGGATCGTTGGTCATCAAAGAGATTGGTCTTGCGTCATTATTCATGCGTCGTCTTGTTACCTGTCTAAAGCAGGGAGGGTCGCTCTGGCGGGCTGTTTGCACGCGTCGCTGCCGAGCATCAAAGCTTCCAACCGTCGAGATGCTCGGGCTCCCCTCTGGCTTGTTTGTCTTGCAAGAACCTTGTTAGCGCCTGGAGCAAGGTCCATCGCTGAATGAAGAGAAATCACCCACGACAAAGCAGACTTGATGATAGACATTCGACAAGGCTGATCCTGGCGGGGCATCTCAAGTCTTTGTCAACCCCTGACCCCTGGCTACGCCGCCTCTTTCTTTTCTTCTTGTCCAGTTTCCAAGGTCAGCGTTTCCCGAAAACAGACCCCCGGTGAGGATCCCTAGCCTCAATCGGGCACCGCAAGCGATGGGTTCCTAGCTCAATCTCAACCTCCGCGCACCCGGGTCGGTACAGCGGCAAACGAGTTTTCGAGGGGCCCTGTCAGCAACGAATGTTGAGATGCATTGAGGTGTCTGGCATTCGCATCGCTGACAGGCAACATGGAATGATTCAGTCATCGGCCATGGTACCGATAATCAGTGCGTTCTTTCTGCTCAGCTTTCTGTCATAACAACCGCCTCGTTTGCCGTTGCATCCCGAGGCCTTCGTTTCAATGCCGGACTCCACCCTGAACGTCTGGAAGCCTTTCCGCCTTTCGATGGCCCCGCCCGGAGATTGGTACTTCAAGCAGAAGCAAGCACTACATCACTCGCTCCCAGCCCGCGACTCTACCATTGAGCTTTTGAGGTTCATTCTTACGAAGGTTTGCATTAGAATGGCGGTTTATCGCTCTAGTCAGGATTTTTGACGCCATGCCCTCGTACTATCAAGATGCTCCGGCTCCCCGGCCGCAATGCGCCTCTGTTCCTCCCAGGCTGGATTCCTATCTCGGAATGTTGTCTCGGCTCACGGTCAGCACTGCTACATCGATAAAGCTTTTTTTTCTGATTCAGCGTCTTCCACCGCCAGACTCTAGATGGCCAGAAACGAGAGCTGAAGTGGACTTCCGTCATGGGTTGGCGACTTCCCCGTCCATACAACAGGGGGCAATTATTGGCGGTGAAGCCAGGGGTCCGGGGTTCGGGTCCTGACTGGGCTTGCTCGTCGCGCTCGATCCATCAATATTGACGCGACCGACAAACAGGCGTCAAAGATCTTCTTCAGACCCTGTTTCTTCCCACAAAAGCGAGGTCCTCAAGACCCTTCGTCCCATGTTTCAGCCCACTATGCGACGAACCAACGCGCGCGATGATGACTTCTTTCGCTTGTAAGTCATAACCAGATGGCGGTCGACCGGCTCCGCTGAGGTCTACCTATCGCTCGTCGTCACCGACATCTATGCGCGCAATTATGCGACAAAAGAGCATCGAGGCTGCCGAAACGCACTTCTCACACGCCCAAGAAAGAACTCTTTGATCTCTGAGCTAGGCTGGCCCTCACATACGGGTTCGCAGAGTTTGGATCGCTCTGGCAAGCCTGGAACAAAAGACCGAGCTCTTGCCCTTGCGTTGTAGCGGCCCGGAAAGCGACATGATGCTAATGCGCCTGCGATGCGAAGGTAGTGAAACATGAGACTTCCAAGATCTCACGCATCGGTACCTGTTTGTTCGAGTGTTCTTGCCAATTGTCTCTTCTACCACGTTACACACTCCTTTGTCACCGGGCGGCCACAGGGCCTGAATTCATCACCTATCTTCTCCACCACGGTCACATTTGCCAGCCTTCCAGGATGGGCGAAAGCAACACACCCAAAGTTCTGATCCGCACCCCATTCTACTTGCTCACATTTTTCCTTTGACTCATCTATCCCGGCCCAGCAGGTTGGGTAGATTTGCTTCTTTGGTCCCACTTTTTGGCGCCTTTCTGCTGCTTGCCAGACGCCCGACCCAAGTTGGCGGTGAAGAAGGGGCCCCTGGCCCGCGGGAGACGGGATCCCCCCGGCGCCCCCTTGAGGAACCTTTCCTGATTTGATCCTTCTTGGCTTTACCTGCCTGGGAAGTTGTCGCCAGTGTCCAAGAGTGTAGCTAAAGCACAGGGAGCAACGCTGTAGTAGAGGGTCAGATGGCGTTTCCAGGCCGTGAGTTTCCCGAACTTGCCATCTTCCTCAGCCACTCGTCACGCCTCTGTGCGAAGCATCTGAAACCCTGCTGCGGTACAGCCGCTGGACACACGTCGGGCATTAGCTCGATCCTTTCCAACACTATTTGGGCTTGGGGTCTCTTTTTCAGAGACACGTTGGAAGAGCGGAGGGTTGTTTCAGAGGCGAGGGCACGTAGTAAAAGCAACAGGACAGAACAGCGGCATCCACTTCTCGTACGACTGCGTGCGTCATGACAGGGACTCGGGGGCGGAAGGGTTCTGACTTGACTCGGGATCATGCTCGTTTGATGGCTCTCCTAGAGCTTTGGGCGAAGATCACGGAGGGTCTAGACCGTCAACTGGATTTCGGGATCGACAGATCCTCCTCTGCGTGATGGCTGAATGATGAATGGCCTTGAGGCTGGGATCGTGATGGTGCCTGGACCTGGTCTTGTTCCAGTTCCTTGGTTCTTGGAGTTTTCATCAGTCTCTTCGCGCTTTGTTTCGCGAGGAGTGGGGGGTTTGTTTCTTCGTCGTAGCCAGACAAACACTTTAGGTTTGTGTTAGCGCTTTGGGATTTCCAAGAAGCCCAGAGGCACCGCAAGTGTGAGGCTGTTCAGCACCGGAGCTGTAGCAAGTGATCTGCCGCCTCGTGGTGCCCAACAGGCGCCCCGGCGTGCCTCGAGTCCCGTGGAAGAGGGCGGGGGGAGGGCAATCTTTTGTGTTGACAGTTACCTCATGCCTCGTGTCATGGCCGCGAGCAACTAGACCGATCGATCCCTTCCTCCCTAGGTCTCTTCGGTGATGCGTCTGCTCCGTTCGCCGCATGGCAGATCTGTTGACGCGTCCGCCGCGCGCCGCACGTCTTCGCCACTTCTCCCAAAGCCCCGCGTGAGTGCAAGGCGATCTCTTGACGAGTGCTTGATCCGGCCTGTTTTGTCGTCACGTTTTGCCTCCTCCGCGCCGTGTCTCATGCGCTACGGCGGCTGACGCAACGTGCCGCGTCATGTGATTCATTTTCCGGCCATGGCACGAGATGCGGGTGAGGGGTGGGATGTGCGAGCTCGCTCGGTGAGACTAGACAGAGAGGGGCAGGGTGGCACGTCGTGGGCGGATGTTCGAGGGTCGGGGAAGGAAGAGGGGCAGGGAATAATCGTCGGGTCGTGCTCGGCGAAATACAGGGCTTGCTTTGTTTGCCATCGGTGGACGATGTCTGTGTAGCGCGCGCCGTGCGTTCTGTGTCAAACTACGCGAGCGTGCGCTGGGGAAGGGCTCGGGGCCTGGTGCGATGCCGTGCCCGTCCTGTCAGAGCTGCAGATGGTGTTGTTGCCTTGGAGGGCAGTGTTCGGTCGTACTGTGAACCTGATGCTCGTGACAGAAAGACATGGACGGGGAGGTGAATCATGGATGCGCACTTGTTTACTGAACATGCAGTGCTCTTCTCCTGGCGACGGCATGTCTGGGATGTGTCTCTGTCGTCCGCCCAATCTTGCACTTGGCATACATGTGGTTGTCTGAGCATCAAGACCTGCCGGTCCGCATGGAGGACGGGCGGCTGGACGAATCATCAAAGCGGAATCAACTCGAGATAGACTTGTTGAAGGTGGTCCTCGCTTGGTGTGAGACATGTATACGAGATGCGGTGAATGATGTTACGAGCCCGTGGTCATCGGATCCAGATATCAAACTAGAATCATATAGAAAGTTCAGACACGAGAGGCCGCACGTTCAAGGATGACGATCCGGTTTTGGCGAATCTGTTTTCGACCACCAGTGTTGGTCTGAGCTACTCACTATTCCGATGTGATAGGAGCCTACGACGGAAGTTCAGAAAGGGACCATATCATAAGTGATAGTCATATGACAACATGCAGACATCACACCAACTCAAGTATCAAGGAATCGAAGCTTTACCTCGCACCAACCTGTTCGTGCGGTCGGAATGAGGCTGCGAAGAGGCAGACAACCTACATGTTCATGCGTTCAGCAGTCAGCGCTTGAAACCGCAGCGTGATATCACGTCAGTCGTTGGCGAGGTGCTCTCCTTCCAAGCAGACTATAAGCCCACGTCCTCTGGATTGAATGCGGGATCATTGGAAACAAGTCGCACGTTCAAATCTGTATCGGACTAAGCTAGACAAGCAACACCAAAGTCCAAGACACAGTCTGAGACAAACCCATCAACGGGCACATGATGCACAAGAACCAACTCCCACGTCATCATGATGAAACACCACCGTTTCCCCTGCCGCCGGTGTATCTTGTTCAAGAAACAGCCATATGTTCTCCCTCTCCCATGTGCGCCTAGAGCCCCAGCCACCAACACAATCGCAGACGCTGTCTAGACGACGCCAGCGAGCTGCAGCAGTCTCTCGCCAGCCTTGAGGTTCGCGTACTCGTAGGCCTTGCTCTCGGGGGGAAACGTGCCGTTGGCGGCCCACATGTCGATGAGGGGCTGCATGGGCTCGAGCTCGTGGGACTTGAGCAGGTCGAGGGCCGTGGCCGTGAGGACAAAGTGACTGAAGCAACTGTTGAGCTGCTTCTCGAGGTTGATGTGGTAGAAGGGGTCGGTGAAGTGAGCCCAGTACAGATGGGCGTAGACGCGGAACATCTGGCGGAAGATGGTCTGGCAAACGTCGATGAAGTTCTTGGGGAAGCCCGAGCGCTTGCCGATCCAGTCGGGCTCGCCACCAGGGCTGGAGAGCTGGGACAGCGGCGTCGTGGTGATGGAGGGGTTGTGCGCAAAGGAGACGCCCGAAGGGTCCGTGGGGAAGATGGCGAGGTCGTCAATCTTGCCAGAGATCCAGCGCTGCATCAGTGTCATGTATTCGTGGGCCGGCAGTTCGACCGGCTCGCGGCGGCTGTTGAGCCAGGTGAAGGAGTGGTTGCTGTACGCTGTTAGGAAAAGACAAGATGCGTTGCGGCTCGGCCAACGTACGCTCCGGCTGACATGCGAGGGCACGACGTCGCGTCGCAGACAGCTGTTCCGTCATCCTCCTTCTCATGGACGACTCGGACAAAGTTCCAGAGATTACGGTAGTGCTCAACGACTAGATCGAGTCAGTACAGTAGTCTCGTTTCTGTGGATTGCATGCGACAGCCGTACCTTGGTGCGCAATCCACTCGCCCTGCTCTACCGTCTTGGGCCGGGCACTCAACGTCATGAAGTTACCCTTGACGATGTGCTTTGCGTAAGTTGAGTTCAGCCATAGGGGCAGAGGGCGGGGTAGTTGATATGAGTCGAGGATTTCTTGCCCGGTTGCTGTGGCCTTGGCGGCGTCGTCTAGGCCAACACTCTGGGAGAATGATGGTGATGGGGGCAGGGGCGGCACCTTGGGGGCCAAGCTGGATGAGGACTGGCTGCCCTGCGACAGAGTCGTCGGCGACTGAGGGATTCCGGCACTCGAGGAGGTCGGGCTTCTGCTCTGGGGTCCCGACTTCTGCGATGCGCCGCCGCTGCGAAAGCGCGCATTACTGTTTGAAGCCGGATTAGTGTCTGGCTTTTGCGGACAGACGGAGGGCGTATGTCAAATCGCCAAGAATCATGTGGAAAACGAAGAATGAGATGAAGCATGACCTCAAGTGTGTGAAGGCGCGCCTATAACTTGACCAAGTGGACGAAATGAAGAAGCCAGGGGGATTGATGCCATGATGCAGGGGCGAAGAGGAAGCGACGTTGAAAAGCTGAGGATGGGAGTATACAGCACGAGGGTGTCTCATCAGTCTCCTTGTGATCCAACGTTTGCAAAGTTGAGTTTGCTCAGGATAGAGACTGGAGCAACAACTTAACAGATGTTACAGCTGTGAGCATCTGATCCTGAGGCCGTGATCTGGACGGGGACTTCCACCGTGAACTAGACATGCGAATACTGAAGCGATGCCGAGGGAAGAGAGAGTGTCAATTCCCACTTTCCTCCAAAGCCGATGACTAGGCACAAAGGAAGGAAAATCGGTTGCGACTCGCAGATATCTCGTGATAAACCACACGATTGGGGCCTTGAGATAGGGTTGCGAGACCGAGTGATTGGTCTAGTCGAGTCGTGACCTTGATTGTCGGCGTCGACACCTTGTAGATTATTCTTCCAAGGTCGAAGACTGTTGAGTGTCAAGGAAACTGATGAAGCAACATCTAGGTCCCGTTCGAGCTCATATGCGATCGCAGGCTCCATGGTGTGCCCCGCAGTGGTGTAGTCCAGACAAGGATAGCGGACGCGAGGCGGTGTGGCATGATCTCGATCAGTAGACGTTGTAGATTTTTGCTGATTGCAACCAATATTGACGGCATGTACTGTCGTACAGAGCCACTGAGCGAGGGCGCCATGTTGCGTTGGTCGTTGATCTGGCAAAGGGCGGCATGGCCCACCGGCCCGCCCAGTGAGGGGTAAATTGATGTTCACACGCTTGTGTGGACAATGCCAGTTTGACCGAACCAAAGCTCAGACGCAGAGCGGGAGCCTGTGCTCTCGCTCGCGTGATAGAACCCAGATGGGTGAAGAATATGAGTGAAGTGTCGGCTGAGATGCCCGTCATGTAGATGACGAGTCATCGGAGTAGAACGTGCCGTAAGCCTGACCTAGCTCATGGCGAGCCGGCGTGGATGACAAGGTGTGCATGGATAGAAGAGAAGAGACTTGATCATAGCGAGGGGGTAACACGGACGAGTTTGGACACACTCGCGGCCGACGGTGTAGTTGAGTACGTCACTAGAGAGGCTGGGCCAAGCCAACCTTGTGTGATATGGTATAGCTTCAATACGACTCTGCATCGAGCCAGCGCACTAACAGCTGGGCGGGCACGTCGTCGCTTGAGGCCCAACAACGCCACTTGGCAACCTAGGTCGGAGAGGAGAGAGCTCACAACTCATACTCGGAAAGCCGAGGGAGCCGGAAACGTCGAGATGCGAGACCATGAAACAGAAAGATACCCGGTACTCACATTCCGGAAAAGAGGTTCGACATGGTGATGAGGCCAGCAGCGGGAAGCTAGCAGAGCAGCTACCAAGGGGCAAAGTATCCAAATGAGGGCCCGAGGTACAGCAGCTAAGGGTCGAATATGCCGCACGTGGCGCCGAGGGACCGTGGAGGTTGGGACGGAGCTGGAATAGAACGGTTGGATGAGCCTTTGGCCCTGCGTATCGTCAAGGAGATGTCGATGCCAGCGCACGTGTTGTCGTCGAGGGAACAGGTATATGTGGGAAAGGGGTGACAGAAACCTGAGGTGAGGTTGAACTTGGCTTGGGTCACTCCAGGCAAGAGAGGGAGCGGCGACATGCGCTAAACCGTATCGGTACAACGAAGCGAGGGGTCGTGAGCTGTGAAGCAAAGCCACATGGATGTGGCTCAAAGGCACTTGATGCCAGCATTTTCGTTGTCCATGGGCTTGTGACCATGATGCCTTGTGAGCATGACGCCTCGTGGGAATGAAGCCCCAATCCTTTTCAATGAAGACCACAGAGACAGAAGCAAGTCCATGCCAGCGATGAGAGACGGCCATCTCGCCAGGACGCATCGTGCCAGACGAGGCGCCTGCGTCTCCCATGTGGCTCGTGCAGCCTCACCTGGACCGTGCTCACGAGTTTCTGGAGCTTGAAGTCAATGCCGTCCACCCACTGACACCAATCGAGACGGTGCCAAGTAGCCTCGCGCTTTCTTCCCTTGCACCTTTAGCTCTGACCCGACCTCGCTTGCTGGTGACCTCTTGCGAACGGACCGCCCTCGTCATCAAAATCTTTCCTTCCGCCGACAATAATAAGAACAAAACGAAGAGCTTTTCATACTCCGAAAACCCATTTCCTCCTCCCATCATGTCCGACTCGGAAGATCTTGCCGAGATCCCTGAGATCCCTGAGGACGGCGCCGACGACCTTTTCGGCGATTCTGACATTGGCGACAACGACATTCTCCCAGCGAGCGACCGCGAGCTCAACTCGGACGATGACGAGACGCCCGCGAGACGTGCCGACGCAGAGGACCACGACGATGATCATTTCCACTCCACGCAGAACAACGTCGTCGAGGACGCGCAGGTGTCCCGCCATCGTATCCCCCAGCCCAAGAACGGACAGGTTCGTGCCAACTGCCTGTGCACTTGTTTTCTTTTATCCATCATGATGGTGGGTCGCTGACGAAAAAAACCCCCCCGAAAAAACAGCTCTCGTCTTTTCCGCGTCCCCAAATTCATCTCAGTGCACCCCGACCTGTACAGCCGCGACACGTTTGCGCCGACGGAGCGCGACGTGCAAAACGCCAAAGCCGACAACCCCAAGGCCGAGGTGCGCGTGCGGCGGGACGGGGCGACGGGCCAGCTGCAGAGAACACGCTGATCCACCGGTGGAACGACGGGTCGCTGACCGTGTCGGTGGGCGACGAGCACTTTGAGATCCACACCAAGTCGCTGGCGCCGGCGCGGGGACCGGGCGTACCGCGAGTGCAGGACGCGCACTACTACGCGGCGGCCGCAGAACCTCAGCAGCAACCACTACATGATGGTTCGGGCACGTGGCCGCACGTTACACGGTGCGCCCGGGCCAAGCGATGGAGGACG